CCCCAAAACCCCAAAACCCCAAAACCCCAAAACCCCTTTGCCAATAAATATAGTTGAACATTTAGAATACTTTCTACTTGGTAATTTTTCTTAAGTGATATTTCAGCAGCATTGACTCCATTCCTTTAATAAATTCATCTCCGACCTTCACTGCCTTCTTGAAGCTGTCAAGTTTGTAATCCTCAGTCTTGGCTGAAAGACTCTTGTTGTATTTATTAATCTTGTACTTAATCTCATTAGTCTCTATAAGCTCCTCGACTGCTCTTTCAGTATCTTCAATGCTCATTCCAATGCTATCAGCCATCTCTTTGAGATCTACTGTCTTATAAGGAGTGATGTAAGTTACGAGGACCTTCTTTTTACATTTCTGCATCATGAAGAAGAAATTCTTAGACAGATAAAAATCAAATCTGAACTCTTCCTGGAACTGAGAAAGCAACTTAAAGTATTTATCAAAGTCAAAGTTAATAAATGTACTTCCTAATTCAAGCATTTCAGGATAATTTTCTAACAAGATTCTGAAGTTTGGCTTTGAGTAGTAATCCTCCTTAAACTGCTTCCTCTGGAGTGTCAGCAACCCACTGATGATAGCATAGAAGGCAAGATCTTTCTCTGTTCCAAATATAGGGAGCTCTTCTTGTGTACAGATCGGTCTTTCCCATAAGCATTGGGCAGCTTCCCTCAAATTTCCTGCTCCAAGATGTAATAAAGCAAATACAGTGCTAAGGAGATGAGATACTTTGGGCTCTTGAGGGCTTTCTAGATCCTTAAACACAGCTTCCTTCACAAATTTCAACCCAAATGTATAATTTCTATTATAAATAGATACAATTCCGAGCTTAATAGAGGAAGAAACGATGTCTTCTGTGTGGATGGAGAATCAGTAAGCAATCCTATAAGCCTCTGCAGCTTTCTGCATGCTACCGTTTTCATAAAAGAGCTCTCCAAGATTATAGTACTCAATTCTGACGATATCCTTCTTTAAGGATTTCTTTGCTTTCTCAATCTCAATCTTCTTTGCATCTATCTTGGCTTTAAATGCTTCTGTTTGCTTAACAATCTCTGCAGTGTCTATACCAATACTAGAGGCAGGGATTCCGAGACTTTCACAATAGTTCTGGGCGGTTTCAGCGACACCATACATCTTTTCGTCCATAGCCATTTTATAAATCTTGGCAAGTGTCTCAGAGACAAGCTTGTACTTGTTGTCATCAGTCGAGATGTCATATCTCTTGAATATATTCTCAATCACAGTGAAGAGCTTCCCGAATTTCATGTATCCAGAGTAGTTCTCACAAATGGATTCGACAGTATCCTCAATATCAGCCATTTTTTGATAAAAATCTTATAACTAAGATTAATAAGAACTTGAGTTATGGGGTTTTGGGGTTTTGGGGTTTTGGGGTTTTGGGG